CCTCAATTTTTTAGGGTTCAACAATGTTATACAATTTCTGAAACACTAGACATGACTGCGATTTTCAAATTGAAAAAAAAACTCATTTTTGACTTTTGTCGTGGGGAATGGTAAACCAAATTTTTCTTCGCCCATTTATCTTTCCCCTCCTCTCATTGTTTTATGGTGATTTTCTTTGTAAGTAGAAAAATAACCATCTTACGAATTTCGCAAATGGACAAAAGGTCAGTTGTGTAGGGCGTGCAATTGTTCATTGAAAAAAATTAATAATTTCAAAGTTATTTAGATAGTAAAACAGGATATCCAAAGCTACTCCATATTTCAAACTTCAATGCAAAATTGAATAGAGTTGAAGTTTATTTGTTAATCTACTACACCTCTAATTTCTCTCTATAACAAGATACCGACACAATTCTGTTGGAAATTTTCTTGATTAAAAGTTACATAGGACCAACTTTTTCGGGTGTCCATTTTGCTTCACTCTTGAATAATTTTTCGATTGTGGACTTTGCCCAGAAGTAATTTTTGAAAATTCGATCAAAAAATTGAAAATTGAAAATTGAAAATTGAAAATTTTTTAAGCATCCATTTTAGTCTATTCTCTACGGATTTCTCTGTATTAGAAAACATAGATATCCATAGTGTCCAATGTAACAATTTTCAAAAATTAGAATTTTGAAAAAAAAAATTTTTTTTCACACGTTTTTTGAACGTCCATTTTACCCCAGATGTTCACATTGCCCCACCTTCCCCTAATATTTGAATGCTCCCGTATCTATACAAAATGTAACTGGAGACCAGATGAGAGTGGTCTTCGGCTCTAACCCCGAGTTCTCCCCACTACCCCCGGCTCATGCGTGATACCCTCTTTTTTGGCGCACAAACCATGGCACGCCCAAACCGGCTGATTTCTCCGCCAGTGCAAAACAGTGCAAAATTTGTTGTGCAGTGATAGACGATTTTGCAGCGATTTACACTCGAAATTCTCATTATTATTTTTCTTAACATTATTTCACTCACTCACCATTCAAACATCTCATTCATTCATACATTAAAATCATCAATTCATTCATTTCATTTTCAAAAAGACCACAACAACTCAATGTAGCTGGAAGGAGATGACCATCTGAAATTGTTCTTATAAAAAAGGAGAGATGAATGAATAAATGACAAGCCGAATATTTTATTCATTGAAGAAAAAAAAATGTTCTCTCAAACTCCATATGACATGTTTGAAAAAAATGGAAAATAACGATAAATAATGCAGAAAAAAATTTAGAGTAAATGACAATACATAAATGACTGGACAGCCAAAGTTATTCAAATCACCAACTGGTATATCGTTCTTGAGGATTCTCGTCATCCATTTCTTCTCAAGGCCTTGCACATAGATGTATTTAACACCCTTCACCATAGCATTGATGAACTCACTCACTCCATCATACTCAATTTCTTCAGGAGTATTCCAGTGTCGTCCATGATAACAACGTCACAACTACTGATTCATTTTTTGATACTTGGGTAGTAGATCATTCCATTTGTGAGGAGGATCTACGAAAACTGACTCATGGAGAATTTTTCCGGTATCATCGAGTTCTAATGCAGAAATCGCGAATTCTTTCAAGATAAACTGGTTTCCAATGTCTTTGAAACCCTCAATATCACTGACCACTACCATATTGATGTCGTCCAATTGCAAGAGTAACTGAGGACGTCGCTCAGTCGTTTTCTCGCTTTTATATAATACCATTGAGTGTCATGGTAGATGAGCGGTGATCTCCACTCGTTCCTGTTGTTATAGAGGTGTGTGTCTGGATATTGTTGTCTCAGAAAGTTTTGCGATAATTTTGTGATTGCCTGCGCGACTTACATGGTCTGATCCCAAGATTCCACGGAGAGATTTCAAATAACTCTAAATAATCTCGTTTGTGTTAGTTTAGTAACAGTTTCAATTCAATAACCAGTCAGATGATAATGTCCATCCGCTGCAATCCGTTGGATTTCTCAGTAAAATGGGGATGGAATCGGTTCCACTCCATTCAACTTTTGCATGGAGAGTCACGTATTCATAATATTAATCCAATGACCATTAAGATGGAATGGTGATGACATTTCATAATGTCTGGTTTGAGTTTTGGAAATGCATGGCATTCTGACCGTTAAACAAGATGGCGACAGAAGCGTATGTGATCTGTAAGTTTTATAAGCAAATCTTTCCCCACTGTACAGCTCATTTTTATTCCGTGAGTTGAGTTTAAAAGTGCTCTTCCCTGTGATGTCTGCTGATACGATTTCAACTTGTGAAATAGTTACCACTCGTCTATTTGTTCAAAAATTGAGAACTTCCGGGAGAATGAAGCGAAATCCAACATCAAATACCATGGGATCGATTCACTCCTCAGATTTAGATGAGGAGTCTGACATTGCTAGCTCTACAGACAATTCATCTGTGGCTGGAGTCCCAGACTTTTCTGAAACAGCATCAGAAGTGGATGCTGCTGCTGATGACATGTCTAATTGGGGTTCTTGGGATGCAACTCATGCTGTCCCACCTGATGTGAATAGTAGACGAGACCCTGGCTCAACAGTGGGCAATTCTTTTGAGGTGGGAGTTTCAAACTTTCCTGAAATATCATCAGGGTCGGGTAGTGCTGAGACGACTGCTGGGGACTCTCGAAACGGAATGCAGGCTGCTGAACAGTTAAAGGCAAGTGCTAAGGTCAAGAATCTGTCACCTGATGCGAGTGATACATCTGATTCAACAGTAGATATGGAGAAAGGAGATGTTCCAGTTGTTGTCGACATCTCAGAATCACCGAAGCTTGCAGAGGAGAACTCATCAGCACCAGAGTCTGAGGAGAATGGTTCCGTCAATATTCCAGACTCTCCAGAGAGCCCAGATCCAGAGTCTCCAGAAGGTCCAGAGCCAGAGGAAAGAGGCTCCGTCAATATTCTAGACTCTCCAGAGAGCCCAGAGCCAGAGGAGAGAGGCTCTGTTCATATTTCGAACTTATCAGCAGAGAGCTCTGAGTCTGTGGTGGTGGTTGAAGGCTCACCTTCCATTCCAAAAAACTCTCATTCAATGGAGACAGGCTCAGTTGTCATTCTAGACACATTCGAGAAACCGGCAGCAGCAGCAGGAAGTACCCTTGATAAACCTATCATTATGGATGCATCAGAGGCTTTTACATCAGTGGTTGATCCAGCAGTGGCGATTCCAGAGACTACACCAGGGCCGCGACCAGTGATTCCAATGGATCCTAATACTGTACAACCCGAATCAGCGGAGGGTACCGACACATTTGTTCGAGTGGGAGAAGCTGTGTGCCCACCATCAGATGATTCAGATGATAATGATGAGCCTGTTCGAGTTTTCGTGCCACAAGAATGGGAGGGTGTGATGTCTGAGAGAGCTATGAAGAAGAAGCTGAGGGATGTCGTCAATCGACACTTCAAATTTGGTGGTACTTTCCTTACAATGGCGGGTGTACGTGCCAAGTTGATTGTCTTTCCTCATGGCAATGTATTGTTTCGCCCAATTGACTCTTTCAAACATCCTGGGCGATTGCCGGCTAATATCAAAATTTATCCAGTGGTAAGTTTCTATGAATCTTTGAAAAAAAAATAACAATCAACTGAGATGAATCATGTGATATTGGAGAAAATATAATCCCCTAATTTTATCAATTGACTGAATCAATGCAAAAAAATAAATCACTAATTCATTTGTCTTATTTTATCTGTTTCAGTTGTAAACGCTCGAGGGGAATTGCTGAAACGCTTCTGCTGTGTGATGAGATACTATGGATTATTGCTTGCGCTACACTAAAATCATTTTTTTCCCCAACACTCTCAAATTGAGGGAGTGAAAAAATTTCTGTTACTATCTATGCCTTAAGACATGTGAATATTTACTCTTTTCATTATTTTTGAAATTATCTATGTATTAAATAAAGAAGAAAAATCGAATATATATATTCTATGTATGCCTTATTTCTTCAATTCCTTTCCATTATCTCATCTCCGTATTCCTCCAAACATAAACACCTGAGTTGCGACTCCAGACACCCAAACAACTAAGAGACAAAGAAGGGAAAGTGTATGGAGCCTGGACCGTGTAGTAGCCTCACCGCTGCTATTCTTCTTCTTCATTACGTCTCGAGACGTTAAAGCGAGAAATTAAAAAAGTGTGTGTGTTGCAAATCAACGTTAATGTAAGTATGCATTTCAAAATTTTTGAGTGATTCAATAGTGATTTGAGTGATATTAGTAGTGAGTTTTCAATGTGGCATTAATGATTATGTTGTTCTTTCATAGTGAAAATGCAGAATTACCCATTCCCAGACCCAGATCTGAGGGGAGAGTGGGAGGAGGACGACGCTCTACTGGAAGACTTGTGGTTGGGTCAGGTGGAGAAGGGTTGGGGTAAAATCCCTGACTATTATGAGGTGATCAGTCACCTCGAGATACCCATGCATTTATTTATCAAGTACATGGCGTTTCTAGGCGATTTTTATTATGTGGACAAGGTAATTATCTATTGAAATCGAAGTGAAAAAAAAATTGATTTTTCATATAGTTTGTGAGTGTGTGTGATTAATTTGTGATCTTTATTTCTGGATACAGCAGGCCCAATTCCACCAGCAGATGAGGCTGTGCCTCAATTTTTTCCTCCTCGTCGAGTGTGAGGATGAGGCATGGGAGATGCTGCCATACGGTCGGAGCCTGGTTGGTGCAGCCTGGTTGATCTTGGGTGCTCAGGGTCATCACAATGTGTGAAGTGAGTAACCAGTATCGTATCTCTCTGTTTTCATTTCTTTGCAACGTGAAAACTAATATTAAGACTTTCTCTGTTTCAGATGTTGTCAACTTCCAGACGGCGTAGGATAACATTTTTTTATCAAGATTTTTTTATATTCCGTTTTTTATTCATTTTTTTTATATTCAGTTTTTATATTAAGATTTTCTCAATATTACTACTATTATTCAATACTTTTTAAAAATTTTATAGTATACATTAACATATATGGGTCATTACACAAATTACCAACCGATCATTTTGCGCCAAGTCTGGGATTTTTACCAACTTTTGATATATCTTTATACTTGATAAGAAGTAACTTCACTTCAAATTTTAGCGCTCCAACTCAACTCCTTCACAAGATATGCTTAATTTGACTTTTTTTCATGTTTTTTCGACGAAAATTCCTCTTGATATGGTTAAAAAAAAATTGGACATAGCATTTTTCATCGGAAAATTCTCAATTTTCAGAAAAAAAATTTTTTTTTTCACTCCGAGGTGTTTTTTACGGTGAAAACGCCGTTTTCCTTTCCGAAAAAGTGTAAAATCACTCTTCTAACCCTGTCCCCCAACAGTTTTTGAAATTTTTTTTTCCTCGAAAGATCTTTTTTTTTTCGAAGACATGAGGAAAAAAAAATCCCCTCTCCATTAACTTCAATCTCAAATATGTACAAATCTATTGCGAAAATTTGATTTTTTCCTTAATAATGTCAACCATGGAACTATAAACACTCTCGAATTTTTATGAACTCATGGAAGGAGTCAATGAAGGTTAGGCGCCCAGAAACTATCAATAGTCATTTTAATAGTACCATCAGTGTGAATTCACTTGACATATATGGAATATATTCCCCACTTGACTACCTTATCAAGATTTCATGAGATATCTGACACTTGCTAGTTTTCTTGAATGTAAGAGAATTTGTTGAAGTTGTTGGAATCACACAGTGGTAGCTTTGAGTACCTTTCACCGATATTGGTCTAAAAAATCGAGGTGATAATCTCTGCTTGTAAGATGCGTAATCTTCCTGGGTGCAATAAACGAAACTAATATTGTTGATGTGGCTTCGACACCACTCATACAAATCCCTGGCACCGAGAATATGATTATCTGTCATTTTCAAGCTTGCAAGTCTTGCAAGACGTTTCACCGTGTCACCGACTCCATCACTCGGTCCCTTGCCATGAGCAGGGAATAATGCCATTTAGCTTCAATCTCAAAATCTTCAAAATGATGGGCCAGGTTTGAGAATGATTTTAGGTTCTTGAACTGGGACGGTGTCTCATCAGTAAAATAAAAAAATTTATTTACTTCTCCAAATTTTACCTTTAAGAATGCCACTAATTCACATTGGAACATGTAAGCACTGATAGTGTCATGTTTGTTACAATCAGATATGCCAGTAAATGACACAGCTTTCAGTTCATCACTCTCCTTATAATACACGACGACAGGGAATATTGTGGCTTGTTTATTGTTCCAATGAAAAGCTTGAGCTGGCCTTTGCACGACGAAAGCGTAATTTTCAGAGAAGTCCATCACCACAACTAATTCCCCTGCTTTCAAATCATTTTTCACGTCTCTCAAGTGTTGGCTCTGCTGTTGTGCGACATTATGATGCCACACTAGTTTATTCAAACTTTTAAACAATATTCCCGTGAATTGCTCAACTGAATCGCTTTTGTCAATGGTTGTGCAACGATCTGTCGTTGTCCACTGCTTATAGGTGATCTCCGTGTTGCCTCGTTGCTTCAACCTCTCAACGAACAGTTCAGAGAGATCAGAACCATCAGGACAATCCTCACATGACCGATTATAACATTTTTCCGTCGGATACTGGCGAATGAGTGAGTCCAACAAACTTCGAGAAGTTGGAATTCCCCCAGGTTCTTCGCAGCCAACTGCTGGAAGCAATTCCGTGAATTGACATCCTGTAAAAAAATTATTCATGTAAATATCGAGAGGATTCCAAAAAATCGGAAAGAGTGATGAAGGAAAAAGATTATACCATTCAGCATTAGCTTCACATTTTCGTGCATCGTACACACACACACCGTGTGTGACCCAGAAGTTCCAGCCAATATGTAGTACTGAGGTTTTAAACTAAAACACAAGTCTTTTTTGCATTTTTTGTTTTCCACCACCGAGCATTTCAACGGACTTATAATCTTTCATTCCTGGCAATTGCTGAGAAAGTTTTTCACAAGTTCTTCAGTCTCGTGATTCAAAGGCCTTTTACCAGGCTTCCTGGTGGGATTGGCCATTCCATCAATGGTTTCATCGCTGTTTATCGAGATCTCTCGAATGAGCCAATCAGAAGCTCCAACTTTATTCTTAATTTGGTCTTTGCTCCAACTCGGTGGTAAAAGACTCAGGAGAATTCGTTTCACTTCTCTAGATTGAGGGGAATCCGAAATTGAATAATATTGAAAAAATGAATGGGATCGAAAACAGTGGGAGATTATGTTGAAGCTTACTTGGAAGTACTTTTCTCGTCGAAGTTCTTAATCTGCGCCAAAATATACTCATGATCTGCGATCATTGTATCTCGTTCATCGTTTCTCACAGTAATTTCAAAATCTGACTCAAATTTACATTTAGCAGTTTCTTCAATCTCCTTCCACTTCTCCAGTCGATACGATGTGGAGTGTAACCTAGCGAGAAATGAATCAAATCATTTCAATTTCCAAGAGTCACTGATAAGAAAAATACTCACTTCTATCGTTTTACCGGACTGAGTCCCAACGAGATATCAATCGTCTCCAATTTTCTCTTCTGTGAGGAAGTTGGCGTGTACTCATTGTCGAAAAATTCACTCAGAGACTGGAGTGATGACAAGGGAGATATCCACTCTCCATCCGAATCTTCTTCTGGGTTCTTAGCGCCTTCTATTACTTCTTGAACGATTTCTCCTCCCGGGTTCTCCTCTGTCTTAGTCGCCCATTCTTTCCTGCATGTGGAACACAACCACAATTTTTGCGTTACATTCGCATATTCTCGTAATTACATTGGAGTGAATGCACGCAAATCATCAGGATTTGAAGAATCTGTATTTGTAAATGAAAATTTCAGAGTGGACAAGCGAATCAACCAAAGGAAAGGTTCCGAATTGAACAACAAAAAATGAAAGAGATATACGCGAGAAACAGTGTAAAATATAAAACACTATTCAATTTTTTATGATCTCTCAAAAAATCATAAAAAAGATTCAACACTAAGCAACCCCCGTTGACTGCTATGGAGGAATGCAAAAAATATGACTATTTTTCAGAATTATTTTATTGTAGCTTGGATAGTTTTTTGTTTTTATTCAATAAGTAGTTTTACATTGGAAAAACTTACGTGAAGGAGGTTTATTGAAGGGACTGAAGCATTTGTTACTGGTTTTCATCTTGATCCCATCAAATATACCCCTTGGAGTGAACAAACAATGTTTCACTCGATACACTCTATATGACAACGTGTTTCTCTCAATGCCAAGGAAGTGCTGCGTGACTTGGATACTTTCCAACTGAGGGTGTTCCCCCTTCCCCCGTCTGGATCGCAAGCACTGACAATTAATAACTTTGTTTTTCCCGTCAAGGTCATAGTATTACTCTGCTGTATTGGGGTGAGACAGTTGAACTCGTCTAGAATCAATGGTGCTTCGAACTCATGTTCATTCTCTATTGTGAAAAGCAATGGGGGGAGGGGGGATGTAGCGTCTCGCTACACACACCAACGCGTAACACACGCACGCATGCGACAATGCGCTGTGAGAGGACTGGACATCAGTGACATCATCGCACTCTGTCACACGCGCCAGTATATAATACCTCTCACTCGCACAATTATAACGCGTATCCAAATTCGTCGCCTCGTGCGAATATTTAGTCTAACACTGACCTCCGATCAGATCACTTTGATTATTCTTTCTCTTTTGTACATATATTCTAAACGTCTTGATTAAACTGTAATTTAAGTACTAATTACATATGTTAGTGAATTGTTACACCCAACTACCTCAATTCCTACATTGGTGACCCCGACGTGATCTAATTAGGGAAATTCGACATTTTAAACGACAAAAGTGAAAACCCTCGCGACTCGCGCGCGTGCAGTGCAACTGAAAAATTCATTCTCTCATCCACGCGTTCTCATCCGTTTCTCCGGACAACACGCGCGACTCCGTTTTTCAAGTGCTGCAGTGAATCCTGCGAGTGCATTCTAATTAAGTGGCGCGCTTCTGAAAATAATTAATTTCGTTGTGTGTCTCGAGATTTCTGCAACATTCCAACCGTCCGAGCGTCAAGACCTTGGTTTCCCATTGTTCTCGCGGAACCAAAACAAACCGAATAAAAGTGATATCCGAGTGAATATTTGTGACCTCGCGCCGACACATTGCCGAACACCCATAGACGTTGTGTTGTGTTGGTGACAAATAGAGACTACAACAGCATTTATTTTTCTCAGAAATTTATTCCTTAAGCTTAATCGCGCTGTGAAGTAAAATTCATCGATTTTATTTCTCTCTGAAATAAAATGAAATAAAATCAACATGGTGACAACAGCAGCTGACATCCAAACAACTGCCACCGTATCTACAGCAACGGCTATAATGAGGCCCAAGCTCATCGCTAGGCCGTTCGACACGGACAAACCCGCGCTGTGGTTCGCGCAGCTGGAGACACAGTTCGCTGACCTGGGATACGTCACCGAGTCAGATAAGTACAACAAAACGGTACCAGGGTTGCCAGATGTGGCGATATTACGCCAAACTGGCGATTTTCGAAGTGTCTTGGCGAGCAACTTTTTGAACTATCTCGCCAACTCGGAAGTTGGCGATTTCGCAAATTGAGGGGAAAAAAAACAGGTTTTAGTTTTTTAGGTTCTGCGTGTTTCGAAATTACCGTCACACGTCTCTACTGTACCAACGAATAACAGAGCATCCACAACAAACGCGCACTATTGACGTCCATTGTACACGCTCCTTAACTGTTAACACCACTAATACCACCACCATATCACGTGTTTACATTCCGTCAGTCGACGAGTCTTAACGTGTTCCCAACGCATTTTTTCATCGTATTTACTCCCATAAATCTGTTTCTTTGCCGTTAAAAAAATCTGTTTCAACCTATAACTGAAATTCTATCACGATGGGAGTGGTAAAAGGATATAAGGAAGGCTCAGCAACTCACAAGAAAAGAGACAAATTCAGTGTTAAGAAGAGTAACCCCCCAGACAGAAGTGTTTTCAAAGCCAAAAAAACTGATGGTAAAAAGTCAAAAGAAACACCAAGGCCCTACAGCAAAGACTGGGAGAAAGATGAACCATTTACTGGTATGTATGACTGACAAATTTAATGATGGCATAAGCTTGAAATAGAATAAAAGTGGTCCGAATATTCTTCGTTACCAATTGATAAATTAATATTTTTTTCGTATTCTTAGGATGGTTAACACGAGCTCCAGATTCTGTCTTCAAGAAAAATTAACGTGAAGCTTTCTGTAAATTGTGTTTGAAAGGATTGAGGGCTTCACAGAACTGATTTGGAAATTCATAGCCGATCTAGAAGTCATCAGATGAGAGCAAAAGAAATTCAATCTGCTGGGCAGAAGCGTCTAGAGCAATGTGGTATGTTTTTTTTTTCAAATAGTGGTGGAACAGAAAAATAGAGCGCATGGATTTTTTGATAAGTTTTCAACTGTTGATTTATTCAAATAAGTCAATCAGAGGAATGACCCAATACTAAAAGTCCTGGATATTTGCTTATATTCCACTCGACTCGATTAATTGGATTCGGGTATTATCTCATTCCAGGCATGGCAAAGCAAAACGATGACGTTAAGACAGCTGAAATCGGACTGGTACTCTTTCTGAATCAAAGACATTTTACGACCGGTATATTCAACATCTATATTATCCCCTGGGCTATTCTATTCGGTCAACCTTAGATGTTTTTAAGGCATAAATTACATGGAAAGTGGGATGCTATATGCTATCCATCGACTTTCCGGACCTCTATACGAGGGAAATAATTGAATAATTATCAATGCCTAAATTAAAAAATTCGGAGGCACACGGGTTCGAACACAAGTGGGATATGATCCCACATCTTCTGTTTGCCGGACAGGTGCTCTGCCAATTAAGCTATTGTGGCCTCCTCCGCATCTCCGAATTTCAGAACTTGTGCATATCGTCTCACTATCTCCACTCCCCCTCGCCCTTCCCGTTTAAAGCCATACTGAAATATCACAATCACAGACATTTTACGACCGGTATATTCAACATCTATATTATCCCCTGGGCTATTCTACTCGGTCAACCTTAGATGTTTTTAAGGCATAAATTACATGGAAAGTGGGATGCTATATGCTATCCATCGACTTTCCGGACCTCTATACGAGGGAATTAATTGAATAATTATCAATGCACAAATTAAAAAATTCGGAGGCACACGGGCTCGAACACAAGTGGGGTATGATCCCACATCTTCTGTTTGCCGGACAGGTGCTCTGCCAATTGAGCTATTGTGGCCTCCTCCCACTATTGTACCCGAGTGGAAATTCTGTTCAGGTCTTAATCAGAAACTGATCAAGTCCGATCCGAAATTCTGATCAGGCGTGTTACGCCTCTGCCTTAGGTTTTTCCACTAGGGTTTCTCCGCCTTCCATCATTAGGCATTAATTAAATTTAATTTTTTGAGAGAAAAAATTAGTAACTTCCTAGCCGGGAATCGAACCCGGGACCTCCCAATGTCGCGTCGGGTGCTCTTACCATCTGAGCTACCAGGACACTTACGAATGTCACTTTCAAATTGACTCATACCCGAGTGGAAATTCTGTTCAGGTCTTGACCAGAAACTGATCAAGTCCGATCCGAAATTCTGATCAGGTGTGTTACGCCTCTGCCTTAGGTTTTTCCACTAGGGTAGCTCTCCAGCTATTGTAGCATCCCACTGTCCATGTGATTTATGCCTTAAAAACATCTAAGGTTGACCGAGTAGAAAAGCCCAGGGGATAATATAGGTACTCTTTCTGGCTTGCCATGGGTCAATACGGATTGTTGATCACTTGTCAAGATTCATAACGCAGTATGGAGAAGGAAGTGTCTTGTCACAACTCAGGCTCTGTCGAACTAAAGCTTCCAAGCTGATTCTTAATGTCATTGCACCAGAGCTTCTAAAGGAATTGATTGACGACATTGGTGATGAATGTTACTCACTCATTGTCGATGAGTCAACAGACGTCTCTTTGAGTAAATTTATGGCTTATGGGATAAGATACTACAGTCGACGAGCTAATAAAATCGTCACAAACTTCCTCGGATTCACAAGGGTTCATGAGGCCACAGCCGAGAAACTCCATATCAGTCTCAAGGAATTATTGTCAGAGAATGGACTAAATCTCAAGAAGATGGTTGGTATTGGAACTGATGGGGCGGCCAACATGTGTGGGAAAAATAACAGTCTATTCACTTGTCTACGGGAAGATCATCCCAATTTACTGCTGATGAATTGCATGG